TCTCTCTCTCTCTCTCACGCATACACACACACATACACATTCCCATTCACTCTCTCTCTCTCTCACGCATACACACACACATACACATTCCCATTCTCTCTCTCTCTCTCTCTCACACACACGGCAATTAGCAGAGTGTCCCATTGCGCAATCATGCGTGTACGTGTCGCAAGCTCACTGTGTGAGATGGATGTCCGGACGCGTAGCGTAGCGTCTCCTCGTCCGGAACCGGTCGCGTAGCCACGGCCTTTATTATATGTGCGCTATCACTGCATGAGCATGTATTTACGTGTCAGCGAGTAATTATTAGAATTGATAAGATGAAACTCCAAACAAACGCCGCCATTTTCCAATAGATATCCCATAATACGTAGCGAAAGTTCGTGAATTTTCGCGTACAAAAAGAGACATAAGAACATCCATTGTTTTCAAGCAACCAGGCATTTCGTATGGAAGGGTGTCAGGCTCCTACGACGTGTAACAGTCGGAGAGCCTGGTCGGTTTAAGCCCTGTATTGCATAGGATCGCGGTAGTCCGCTGTCTGGTACAGCCAACAAGGGCAATAGTTTGTGAGCTAGCTATTGCATGAGCTGTTCACGGCGAGGAGCTCGCAATGTTGACATATATTATCTGTTACAAATGTACCGTCTTTAAATTAATAAATAAATTAGCTAATGTATTTCTAGCTCTAGTACTATGGCTGTTGTTCGCCACAGGCCTGCAGCGAACAAGGGCTATAGTACTAGAGCTATGGTATTTCCACCAAACTCTCATGCAGTCATACCACTCCTGCGAAACTTCAGACAAACTGCACTATGTCACTAATTCGGCTTCCAACAAGAGAAGGAACTGCTGTCGTGAAAATTAACATTAGGATGTTCTAATGAGATTAGTCAGATAGGATAGGGTATGAAATTGCATGCGTCAAAGCTTTCACAGAAAATTCATAGATGCGCCAATGCAACGATCGAGTCTGTCCTCAATTTATGACACAATTCGATATACAATTGGTCTCGATGGGAAACCATGTTTATCGATGTTATATACGTTTCACAGCTGTGCATGCTAGTATAACCACAAAGCATTGTATGTATACAATGTGAACTGAACAGTGTAGTTGGCACAGTCATATTGCTGTCACTGTTATTGTACACTGATGCTGTCAATGTCAGCACCATATATATGCTTCATTATCATTGCATTTGTAACGCGTACGTGTTATATTTAGATTTCCAAACACTGGAAGCGTGGCAGTGATGATTGAAGACAACACCGCGACCGCTCGTTGTATTGACTGCCTCTGACAACTCTACTGAAGTCCATCTGCAAAGACTTCTATGGACATGAGTCAAGGTCTTGAACCGGTTGTGATATCAGTTGATCCAGCAGTAGATTGGAAGCACTTTTCTAATTTTGAGGTAAGCATGCAAGACTTAAATTGGCAACAACATGTTTTTTCGGTCACGGGCTGAGTAGGAAACAGTTCAACAAATGATATTGGAGGTTGTTCATACACCCTCCCACCCACTGCCGCTGAGAGGGTCTATCTCCCCCAGGTTACTGCCGGAACGTACCCTGGTACTATCTAATATGCCGGACCGTACCTCTCCTACTCCACTAACGAGTCTAGGGAGTCGCCTACGCCTACTCCCTAACCCTAACCCTGACCATATCAAATAGTTAACAGGGTACGTTCCGGTATACCGGACCGTACCCAGGGTACGTTCCGGCAGTACCCTGGGGGACATAGACCCTATGAGCCTCACGAATGTGCTGCCATCACTTTGTTAGTTCCCATTCATCAATTAAGAAGTGCTTACTCACTTGGTTTTTCCCCCTATACTCATGTCTGTCCCACAAATTTAAACACCTGATCAAGGTGCGATGGAGATAACTGTTCCTCACAGGGAAAAAATTTATTTTTCGGGGGCTACTTTTCAAGCTCGCGTGCATGAAAATAGCACTATAACATTTGGTTTGCATTGAACTCTATGCAAATTTAAGGGTGCTTTTTTTGGCATTTCGGGGGCTAAATCGCCCCGAGCCCCCGTGTATTTTTTTCACTGAACTTCCTCGTTTCCTGGGTGCTCTTTTCTCTGCCCACTGCTCATCCCCTCTTCCTATTGCTTCTTTTCACACCTGACCCTACGATCAGCATCCCCCTCTCGACCTCGCTGGTGTGATCCAAAGGCGAGCAGTACGTGCAATACATTTGGCATCAGCTGGGTTGCAGGAGTTGCCGGAAGGATGCCGAGTTCCGACATCCAGCCGCCTTAGGGGCTCCACTCCGGATTTTTTGTCTGGATTTTATTCCATAGCCTTCACTTCTCCCAAAGATGTCCCACAAGGCAGTGAGGAGGGCCAACGTTAAAGGGTCCCTCCTACCCATGTGGCAGACTTATCTCTGCCGGCCGCCAACCCGATATTTCAAGGTCTCGGGGAGAGCTAACAGCCTAACGGGTACTACACCTTGCTCAAGGGTGACCTGGAGGTAGTTGTGCCAAAGGGTAACCTCATTCTCCCACGTTGAAACTCCACAATTGGATGCAGTTTAAAGTCATACCCAGGACCTAATGAATTAGGTATAATATATATATATATATATCAGGGTTCTGCCCAGGATTTTTTAGTGCCGGGTGCAGCCAGATGCAAACGCCGTAGGCGCGAAGCCAATCTAGGGGGGTCCGGGGACATGCCCCTTCTGAAAATTTTTGATTTTTGATAGTCTGAAACTCAATTTCCTGCATTCTGAGCAATGAAAAGCCCATATATCAGACTTTTTTTATTTTTTTATTTATTTTTTATATCAAAAATTAGTGCCGGGCGGCAACCGCGAGTGCCGGGCACACCCGCCCACCGCCGCCCACCGTGAGCAGAACCCTGATATATATATATTATATATATCCGTGTATCGCTTGTGGCATCGTTCACAACTACAGTAGGCTTTTCTCGGAAGAGCATGTTCATCAGTAGTTCTGTCCTATTCACTGCACCTGTGCAGACTTCCTCTGTGACTCGGCTGGTTCATCGGAGGTGTAATGGTGCAGGTTTGTAGCATATATCGCTTGTCTTTACCTATAATAAGTACCTATATTCGCGTAACCAAAACCAGGGCTGCCAACTCTCACGCATTGACCGTGAGACTCACGCATTTTGACCAAATCTCACGCTCTCACGCTAATCACGGTGGGACGTGGAGGGCCGAGTAACTGTGGTTTATTCACTTTAGTACATTGCTAAAGCAAAATCTTCGACGGATCATCCCAGCTACTTTGTCTCTGTCATTCCGTATTGGAATGCTCTCCCTTCCTCTTTGGTAAATTCCAAATTCGAGGCTTTTTCTTCTGTGAATGTGATCTGCAGTGTTGATCTATTAATTGTAATCGGATCAACTTGGCATGTCTTCTTCCATTGCCGTTTAAAAATATAGTCCCTTGGACATTCAAGACTAGTATTTACTTGGTAACGAGGTTGCGTTAATACATTTCTAATACTATAGTAATAGTACATCAAAAACCCGATCTTCATAGCAACACTAGCAGTAGCAGGTAATAAACGCAGCCGACGTAGTCACTGTCGGTGCTGCCACCGTGCGGCTGCGGCTAGGCGTGCAGCGCTAGCGAGGGTCGCTCAGCGGTCGAATGTCAATGCCATGCAGCTATCACGTGCCGCGCTGTTGCTAAGCGAGTAGCGGTACTCAGAACCTAGACTGGCACGCGTCTCATCGCTCCGGGTTGCGCATCCTCTCTCACGCGGTTTGAAACGACGCGAGTGTCAGTCGATCGCGCTAGAGGCTAGACGAGCGAGGCGGAGGCTGTATGGTTAGTTGATGGTATGCGGACGGGCGTGTACTCCCGCCTAGGCGAAGGTGGAGGGGTGAGAGGAGCTCTGTGTTGAGTGTTTGTTTCCGACGGGTACTTGCTATCCTAACTCTGTGCATCGGTCGGCTTTTCGCTGCGATGTGCTGCTGTTACTGTTAGTACGCAGTCACTTGTGTGCAGTTGTTGCATGACCCGCAGTCCACAGCCTACCAGTGATACCAGTTAGGGTGGTGGCGTACATGATGTACTGTACCAGCCAGCTGATGCTAGTGCAATAATCGTTCGCGTGGTGCTAGACGGATGTATCTGCAATGCTTATATAGACCATTAAATGAAGTGTTATGTGGGGGTACAACTACAAGTAGGCCTAGTGCTCTCTTTTATCATGTTCCTGCGGTGAGCGAGGAAGAAAAGGAGCCGCATCATACGTAAATCGTACGTTAACTACCAGCAAGCCATTTTTAAATCGGAACTTTGGCGTACACCCAAATTGCATTGTGCAGTTTTCGAACGTCTTCCTGGCCGTTGACCGGCCTTCGATCGCACCAACTTCTGTTTACAATGAGAGGAACGACAACGACAACACATCGCCTAGATCGCTCGCATGTAAAAGGCGCGTCTAGAGACCCCATACACTTCCTATCGACGGTGTCATCCGGATCAACAGCCGTTTGTGATGCTATTTCGATCAACGCGAACGAACTAGCTGGCTAAAAGCTTAAGTCCTCACTAGAAGTATCGACCTACATAGACAATACATGCACTCGGGCGCGTCCAGACAAGTTCTTTAACCGCTCACTATCTTACTTTATCGCTATCTGCTTTGATGTTTGCAAAGGTTGCAGTCGTATCACATTATGTGTAGCGAGCGGTGCGTAACGTATCGCTAGGGGGTAGCACGCGCTATCGCATCATTATCACTATCAGCTGTTGTGACTGCAAGCGAGCGAGGTACTGGGAGTCGTTGGTTCACACATCGGTTTCGGCCGGTCTCGGATCACGCTACGGTCACATGCTGTCGCGCTTTCATTGCCACAGCGGCACTCTTTCTACACGCACCAACAGAGGGATCGATCAGGGTTGCCAAGCTCTGGTGTCCGTATTCTATGCACAGCAGGAACACGCATGCAGAGAGAGTATCCGTGCGCGAACCTATATGCAGCGGTGATTTTTAGAAGTGCGGAAGAGAATCCTCGTTACCTCGTTACCTGGGGACCGACGGACAGGTAGGCGGACGGCAAGGTGGTTGCGAACGCGTATAGATCGTCATAGATAAGCGTTCCCTCGTCGTTCGCGAGTTTCGTCGGACGCGCTCAGTCGGTTTTTTCTCCGCGCGACCGGAGTTGGAACCTCCCGGCCGAACTTCGTCAAGCGAAATTCGTCTCGAGCGACATCGGTGCCCCCTGGTGGCGATGAGCGTCATCAACTGCGCTGCGCAGACGCACCGCGTCGACATCGTGAAGCTGTGCATCAAGGAGGGCGTCGACGTGGACTGCTGCGACTACGCCGGCTGCACCCCGCTCTGCCTCGCCTGTCGCCACGACGACGTCGCCATCGCGGAGATGCTGCTAGCCGCGGGATGCGACGTCGACGCCGCCGACGCGAAGGGACGCTCGCCGCTGTACGAGGGCGCCACCAACGCGAACCCGGCGCTCGTGGCGGCGCTGGCGCGCGCCGGGTGTCGCACGGACGGCGGGGCGTTCGCCGCGGGGCGTTCCCCGCTGCACGCGGCCGTGCACGCGGAGGTGCAGGACGCGGCGCGCGTGCGCGGCACGGTGAGGGCGCTAGCGGCGGCCGGCTGCGACCCTAACCGCGAGGCGTGGCTGCGGGAGCGGCGGCTACCCGCGAGCGTCGCGCGGGACGAGGATTTTGCCGCGTGGCTCGTCGCCGCGGCGCGACGCCCGCAGTCCCTCCAGCAGAAGTGCCAGCTCACGATCAGGCGAGTGCTGGGTCAGAGGTCACGGGGCGCCGCGGCGACGACGACGGAGCTTCCGCTGCCGCTGCTGCTGCAGCGATACGTAGGCCTCGACGACTTGTGATGAAGGGAGGGTTTGCGCGGCGTGGGTGGAGATACGCACGACGTGCTGCGGTGGAGTCTGCACTTACCATTCTATTACCATGCTGACATGTCTATTACAAGCTTACCATTCTACTACATGGCGACCATTCTAGTACGTGTTGAGATGTGTACTACCATGCTAACATGTCTATTACAAGCTCACCATTCTGCTACATGTTGACATGTGTACTACCATGCTGGGTTGTCTACTACACGCTGACCTGCCAAAGCCGGTTTTCAGCCTTACAGACATAGAGGAACCAAACAAAGAGTACCATCATCAACACTGTGTTAGCTGGTTGGCTAGTCGCCATGCTAGTCTCAACTCTATGCCATCGAATGATCAGCTGATAGAACCTTCGTGGGCTAGCACAGTGAGTTCGTATCCCGTGGAGGCGGCTCGTGCACGTCTCTGCTTCACACAACCTGTCTACCATCTGCTGAACTGTCTTGCACATGCTGACCTGCCTCATACTTGCTGAGAAAATTGCCCAATACTTGCTGCCTTATACGTGCGGAGAATCGTTAACTTTAATTG